GGAATGCACAAAATACACAGCACCATATAATATTAAAAGTTATGAAAATATTGAAAAGCAACTGTATCAAGGCCAAGTACACTTACCACAAATTGATGTTTTAGTATCATTACCTGAGTGAGGCTCCCGGACAGGCCCCCAATAAATGTGATGGAAAAAAAAGTGTGTAGGTGTTTGGCAGTCCTCCCAATTGCTGGTGTCAATGCCAATCACATTTACAAAAAAAAGTTGACTGCGTGGCTGTTGCCTCCTGTGGTAAAGTAAGGGAAAGACACACAAAATAAATCGTATGAACAATGAAACTTTAATTAACTTGAAAACATATATGAACAAAGATAATCCCTTGGCAGTGCAAATAAACAAGATTACAAAGTAAAAAAAAAATTATAAAATAAAACAGTGGTTACGATACTCTACAATGAACAAGACAAAAAATGAATTAAAAGGTGCTTCTTGAGGTTATCTTGAGATGATTTCGGGGCTTTAGTGTCCCCGCGGCCCAGTCCTCGACCAGGCCTCCGCCCCCAGGAAGCAGCCTGTGACAGCTGACTAACTCCCAGGTACCTATTTACTGCTAGGTAACAGGGGCATTCAGGGTGAAAGAAACTTTGCCCATTTGTTTCTGCCTCGTGTGGGAATCGAACCCGCGCCACAGAATTACGAGTCCTGCACGCTATCCACCAGGCAACGAGGCTATTGGCTGGCTGAAAACATCCACTATTACACAGAGCGTATATTAGATAGGTGTGTCAACTTCGAGAGCACAGAATATTCTAAATCCAATGGCTCGTGCACACTTAGTCAACGGCTATGCAGATGGCGCTGAAGTCGAGTGCAGACGCCGATTCACCAATGGGACGCGTGCTGGCTGGAAGTGGTGGTTTGGTGATCGACGAAGGTGGCGTGGCGACAGCGAGGGAGGGGGGGGTGAGAGGTGGAGAGTGAGTGTAGGGTACGTATACGCCTGGTAGAAACGTATTCTACTACATATATACTACTCTTGATTGTAGTATCTAGATGTTGTAGATGTACTGAAGTAACATGATGATAGGAAAGAGCAGGCCAAATCTCTCTTGAAGGAGATTATCGTAACAATATATATATATATATATATATATATATATATATATATATATATATATATATATATATATATATATATATATATATATATATATATATATATATATATATATATATATATATATATATATATATATATATATATATATATATATATATATATATATATATATATATATATATATATATATATATATATATATATATGCTGGTTAGCATTGTAAATGTGTGGCCACGTCTGTGGTAGAAAATAATAATAATAAGAAGACAAGTTCGGCCCACCCTAGACCTATGTGTCTAAGTTGGCTCACAAGTGGCATTCTCAACTCAATCAACAAGAAACATGAATATGAAAAGAGACTTAGGATTGGCCTAGTTTCAAAGGAAGTAGGTAAAAGGTACTCATCAATGCTTACCAGTATCATAAGAAAGGCAAAATTTTCATATTATGTGAATAGATTCAATGAAGCAAAAGGCATCATGAAAAGCACATGGAAAACAATCTCTAGTATCCTAGGAACTAAACAACACTCACATAACCAAATAAAACTCTATAAGGATGGGTATACACCGTGAACTGATTTTGAAATGGCAAATGAATTTAATAGCTTCTTTTCATCGGTTGGTGCTAATCTTGCCAGTAAAATCCCACAGACTCAGACAAATATTAATACATCTCTCAGGCAGCTATCCAAACTCTCTTCTCCTTTCACCAATCAGCCCGGCAGATGTTGTGCCCATCATACATTCTCTAAAAACCAAGGCAGGGAACACCAGTGAAATTCCGTCCATTGTATACAAGAGCGCCTCTCATGCCCTTGCCCCACCCATAGCACTACTGTTCAACAAATCTATAGAGTGTCACACCTTCCCTGATATCCTTAAAAAACAAGAGTAACGCCAGTCCATAAAGGAGGCAATCCGGCGGACATAAACAATTATAGACCAATATCAAATCTACCCATTCTACAAAAATATTTGAAAAAATTATATACAAACAGCTCTATTCCTACCTCGTAAAATTCGACATACTCAACCTCTGCCAGTTTGGCTTCCGGTCCCAAAAGAGCACCAATGATGCAATCATTAGTCTCCTTGACGTAATCTACTCAGCCCTTGACAAAAATGAGTTTCCGATTGGACTCTTCATTGACCTAAGAAAAGCCTTTGATACTGTTAATCACAACTACCTCTTACTTAAACTCCAGCATTATGGAATCCGAGGCCTTGCCCTTGACTACACCCGATCCTATCTTAGTGTGAGACACCAATGTGTAACCATCAATGATACAACTTCTTCCACTCTACCAACTACCGTTGGAGTGCCACAGGGCAGTATCTTAGTACCTCTTTTATTTCTTATATATATCAATGATCTGCCTAATGTCTCTAATATTCTTAAACCTATATTGTTTGCTGATGATACTACCTTTATCTATTCAGACCCCAACCCACATACACTAAATAATGTTGTGAATAATGAATTAAAAAATGTCCACTTATGGATGTCAACTAACAAACTAACATTAAACATAGAAAAGACCTTCTACATCTTATTTGGAAGCAAATCATCGATTGCAATTCAGCTACAGATAGACAACATTAACACCAGTAATAAAAATGATGGCAAGTTTTTTTGCCTATTCCTAGACAAGAGACTCAACTTCAGTACCCACATTCAACACATAACTAGGAAAGTCTCTAAAACAGTTGGTATACTCTCTAAAATAAGATATTATGCTCCTAACTCTGCTCTCCTCTCACTATATTATGCACTAATCTATCCCTATCTTAATTATGGTATTTGTGCATGGGGGTCTACCACTGCAAACCACTTTAAGCCCATCATCACCCAACAAAAATCTGCTATCAGAATAATAACAAACTCTGCTTTCAGACAACACTCAGCTCCTTTGTTTAATCCCTAAATTTGCTAAATATTAACTCCCTCCACACATTCTCTTGTGTCAACTACATTTACAAAACTCTGTTCTTAAATGCAAACCATGCTCTGAAACTCTCCCTGGACAGATGTAATAGGACCCATTATCACCACACCAGAAATAAATATCTCTTTGATATCCCCAGGGTCAAACTTAATCTGTGTAAACACTCTATGCAAATTAAGGGACCTAGTCTATGGAACTCACTCCCTAGTGAATTGAAAAGCTGTCCAACTTTTGCCTCATTTAAAAACAAAAACAAAAAGTACCTAATTTCATCTTCGTAGTTTCCTACACTGAGCTTTAAATTTGCTCTGTACCTAGTGTTACCCAATCTCCCAATCTTTGTGTACTTAACCCAAACAACTTTATAATTGTGTTCATTGCTGTCTTCTTTTATGTGCTACCCATATGCTGTATTGTGCCTACTAATTTTTGTTAAACTACCATTCAAACTGTCATTGCAATCAATCTGAGCTGTGCTTTAATATACCTACAATTTTCTCTCATCTTTTATTTTATTTTCTTGCTTTGTAACTGTTATCATTTTTTATAAATTTTGCAAGTATTTACCTACTTAAAATTTTCTTAAATTAAGGACCTGCCTGAAACGCTGCGCGTACTAGTGGCTTTACAAGATTGTAATTACTATGCTATGTATCCTCGTAATCCCAATGTACCTTCTTGTATATATATAAATAAATAAATAAATAAATAAAGTTGGGTTGAGCGTCGCCAGGTATGGCTTACATAAGGGCGTGTCTCTGGCCACAACCATGGGCGTTTCGCATTAGTTAACCTACATTACGACCCTTGTGATACTGCATGCTCCTTATTCCTCAGCCTTCTTGTGTGTACGTCTCAGAGCTCCTGCCTTCTTGTGTGTACGTCTCAGAGCTCCTGCCTTCTTGTGTGTACGTCTCAGAGCTCCTGCCTTCTTGTGTGTACGTCTCAGGGCTCCTGCCTTCTTGTGTGTACGTCTCAGAGCTCCTGCCTTCTTGTGTGAACGTCTCAGGGCTCTTGCCTTCTTGTGTGTACGTCTCAGAGCTCCTCCCTTCATGTGTGTACGTCTCAGAGCTCCTGCCTTCTTGTGTGTACGTCTCAGAGCTCCTGCCTTCTTGTGTGTACGTCTCAGAGCTCCTGCCTTCTTGTGTGAACGTCTCAGGGCTCCTGCCTTCTAGTGTGTACGTCTCAGAGCTCCTCCCTTCATGTGTGTACGTCTCAGAGCTCCTGCCTTCTTGTGTGTACGTCTCAGAGCTCCTGCCTTCTTGTGCGTACGTCTCAGAGCTCCTGCCTTCTTGTGCGTACGTCTCAAAGCTCCTGCCTTCTTGTGTGAACGTCTCAGAGCTCCTGCCTTCTTGTGTGTACGTCTCAGAGCTCCTGCCTTCTTGTGCGTACGTCTCAAAGCTCCTGCCTTCTTGTGTGAACGTCTCAGAGCTCCTGCCTTCTTGTGTGTACGTCTCAGAGCTCCTGCCTTCTTGTGCGTACGTCTCAAAGCTCCTGCCTTCTTGTGTGAACGTCTCAGAGCTCCTGCCTTCTTGTGTGTACATCTCAGAGCTCCTGCCTTCTTGTGTGAACGTCTCAGAGCTCCTGCCTTCTTGTGTGTACGTCTCAGAGCTCCTCCCTTCATGTGTGTACGTCTCAGAGCTCCTGCCTTCTTGTGTGTACGTCTCAGAGCTCCTGCCTTCTTGTGTGAACGTCTCAGAGCTCCTGCCTTCTTGTGTGTACGTCTCAGAGCTCCTGCCTTCTTGTGTGTACGTCTCAGACCTCCTGCCTTCTTGTGTGTACGTCTCAGGGCTCCTGCCTTCTTGTGTGTACGTCTCAGAGCTCCTGCCTTCTTCTCAAGCTATCCCCTTAATATATCTTCCTAATTTATTTATTCGTGTATTTTTCTATGATCAATAAAACAAAATACTATAATGTTATATTAATATATTTATATATCATTTTAGGATGGGAAGATTTTGGTGGCTGATGGTGGTGGCGGTGATGGTGGCGGCGGGCGGGGCCCGAGGGACGCTGGTGGCCCCTCAAGGCTCCTACAACATCCTGATGCTGCTGCCCATGTCGACCAGGAGCCACAGGAACGTGTTCCTACCTCTGGCTGAGGCGCTGGCCGACAGGGGCCACAAGGTCAGCAACACCATCAGCAGTAAATATGTGTTCACGTAGATTCTCACATATCTGACGATATTTAGCATTTATACATATTGAGAACAGACAAAATGTTGATTATAATCTATAAATGTCTTACTTTAACTTTTCAAAATACTGTATATTAACTGTGAATGACAATGTGAATGTTGTGAGTTACTAATAAAGAAGGATTCTCTAACACTGTACCTTGAGCACCACGCAGGTGGCCAGGACTTGTTGGTGTACCAGCACCTGGTGTTGTACCAGTACCTGGTGGTGTACCAGTACCTGGTGGTGTACCAGCACCTGGTGGTGTACCAGCACCTGGTGGTGTACCAGTACCTGGTGGTGTACCAGTACCTGGTGGTGTACCAGCACCTGGTGGTGTACCAGCACCTGGTGGTGTACCAGTACCTGGTGGTGTACCAGCACCTGGTGGTGTACCAGCACCTGGTGTACCAGTACCTGGAGGTGTACCAGTACCTGGTGGTGTACCAGTACCTGGTGGTGTACCAGTACCTGGTGGTGTACCAGTACCTGGTGGTGTACCAGTACCTGGTGGTGTACCAGCACCTGGTGGTGTACCAGTACCTGGTGGTGTACCAGTACCTGGTGGTGTACCAGCACCTGGTGGTGTACCAGCACCTGGTGGTGTACCAGTACCTGGTGGTGTACCAGCACCTGGTGGTTTACCAGCACCTGGTGGTGTATCAGTACCTGGTGGTGTACCAGCACCTGGTGGTGTACCAGCACCTGGTGTACCAGTACCTGGAGGTGTACCAGTACCTGGTGGTGTACCAGTACCTGGTGGTGTACCAGTACCTGGTGGTGTACCAGTACCTGGTGGTGTACCAGTACCTGGTGGTGTACCAGCACCTGGTGGTGTACCAGTACCTGGTGGTGTACCAGTACCTGGTGGTGTACCAGTACCTGGTGGTGTACCAGCACCTGGTGGTGTACCAGTACCTGGTGGTGTACCAGTACCTGGTGGTGTACCAGCACCTGGTGGTGTACCAGTACCTGGTGGTGTACTAGTACCTGGTGTTGTACCAGTACCTGGTGGTGTACCAGCACCTGGTGGTGTACCAGCACCTGGTGGTGTACCAGCACCTGGTGGTGTACCAGTACCTGGTGGTGTACCAGTACCTGGTGGTGTACCAGTACCTGGTGGTGTACCAGTACCTGGTGGTTTACCAGCACCTGGTGGTGTACCAGTACCTGGTGGTGTACCAGCACCTGGTGGTGTACCAGTACCTGGTGGTGTACCAGTACCTGGTGGTGTACGAGCACCTGGTGGTGTACCAGTACCTGGTGGTGTACCAGCACCTGGTGGTGTACCAGCACCTGGTGGTGTACCAGTACCTGGTGGTGTACCAGCACCTGGTGGTGTACCAGCACCTGGTGGTGTACCAGTACCTGGTGGTGTACCAGTACCTGGTGGTGTACCAGTACCTGGTGGTGTACCAGCACCTGGTGGTGTACCAGCACCTGGTGGTGTACCAGCACCTGGTGGTGTACCAGCACCTGGTGGTGTACCAGTACCTGGTGGTGTACCAGCACCTGGTGGTGTACCAGCACCTGGTGGTGTACCAGCACCTGGTGGTTTACCAGTACCTGGTGGTGTACCAGCACCTGGTGGTGTACCAGCACCTGGTGGTGTACCAGTACCTGGTGGTGTACCAGCACCTGGTGGTGTACCAGCACCTGGTGGTGTACCAGCACCTGGTGGTGTACCAGCACCTGGTGGTGTACCAGCACCTGGTGGTGTACCAGCACCTGGTGGTGTACCAGCAACAATCCACTGACCTTTCACAGGTGGTGATGTTAACTAACCAGCCACTGACCTTCCACAGTTGGTGATGTTAACTAACCAGCCACTGACCTTCCACAGGTGGTGATGTTAACTAACCAGCCACTGACCTTCCACAGGTGGTGATGTTAACTAACCTTTCACAGGTGGTGATGTTAACTAACCATCCACTGACCTTTCACAGGTGGTGATGTTAACTAACCAGCCGCCAACAGCCACACACGAGAACATCACGGAAGTGTATCATGGACTTCCCAACATCCTGCAGTACGGAGCCAATATGTTCTCGAGGCGAAGCTCCGCGACGGCTTTCGTTAACAAGTTCGGTGAGAGCGTGGTGGAGATGTCTCGGAGCATCTACCAGGTCCCCGCTGTGATGGACCTCTACTCCAGGAGGAAGGAGTTCCATCTGATCATCATCAACATGCTGTACTGTGAGGTAAAGAGCTGACTGCATGTTAACACAGTCACCTCTCACAGTCGTCACTGTGCAACGCATCCTTCGATTAGACAGTCCATTTTAATGCTAAATATAATAAGTACATTCCTTACTGTCTGCATAGTACATGAATACACTTAATTGTACCGTTACATTTACCTCTGTTGTACCTAGTAGCCAGAATGCAGTACTCGGCCTACTATGCAAGGCCCGATTTGCCTAGTAAGCCAAGTTTACTTGAATTTATACATTTTTCGAAATTTTTTCTTATGAAATGATAAAACTATCCGTTCCATTATGTAGGAGTTAAGTTTACTTTTATTTTGAGTTAAAACTAATTATATGGATATATGTCCAAACCTAACCAACCCTACCTAACCTATCTTAACCTAACATAACTAAGTAAATAATTTATGTTCCTAATATAATATTTCAAATAAACCAATTGGATAAAATATTTTGAAAATAAAGAAAATCACTCGGCCTATTAGGCAAATCGGGCCTTACATAGTAGACCGAGAAGTGAATTGTGGCTACGACATCTCCCTATATATTCTCTTCATATTCTGTTAACACACTCAAAATTTTAGGATGAAGTTTTCGTGTTCAATTCTATATGCACAAGTTTTAAATATAAAGAATTTCTTTTTCAGTTTTATTAAACAATAGAGATCTTATACAAAATTTTAAAATATCCCGAGTTACTTTATAAATTTTTGAAAGATTTTAGTTTTGTTTTACTAGTTTTATGAAACTGTAATATCAACATAGCTATAGGTTAAGTACTAATTGTAATTAAGAAGCAATAAAATGCTTGCCCTCCTATACTAAGAAGGTTAGGTTAGGTCGTGGTTTTCTATACAGCTTTTCAGGTAAACTCAAATATTCACAATATTTTGGGGCGATTCTGGCGATTAAGTGTATTTATGTACTAAGCCGTTTGTCAGTATTGTACTTATTGCATTTAGTATTAAAACGTATTGTCTATTCGGAGGAGGGCTGCACTGTAGGAGTCAATGCAGTAAAAACCACACAAGCAGTTACAGTCACGACAAAACATCACAGCCAGAATCCAAATTATACTCATATGCACAATCCCAGCAATTGTCACAGTCACATCGAAAATCAGTAAGTGTTGCTGTGATTGTGACTTCCTATGATTCTCTCTGTGAATATGGCTCTCACAGTCACATCAAAAGTCACAGTCACAGTCACAATCACAGTCACAGTGGAGGGAGCCATAAAAAACAATAATATAATAAATCACTGGACAGTTTCTAGGGATTTTGTGTAACATATTTCTCAATATCTGAGAAATCTTGAAGAGTGTTGAGTGAACTGCAAAATTGTGGCCAAGAATTTTGTTTTTGTTCAACATATATTTGACAACAAATAATAATGTTAGTTAACCTCACAACAACATTCACGTGGCCTCACAAGGCTGTATGAACCACCAACACTCACCTGGACTCACAAGGCTGTATGAACCACCAACACTCACATGGACTCACAAGGCTGTATGAACCACCAACACTCACCTGGACTCACAAGGCTGTATGAACCACCAACACTCACCTGGACTCACAAGGCTGTATGAACCACCAACACTCACCTGGACTCACAAGGCTGTATGAACCACCAACACTCACCTGGACTCACAAGGCAGTATGAACCACCAACACTCACCTGGACTCACAAGGCAGTATGAACCACCAACACTCACCTGGACTCACAAGGCTGTATGAACCACCAACACTCACCTGGACTCACAAGGCTGTATGAACCACCAACACTCACCTGGACTCACAAGGCAGTATGAACCACCAACACTCACCTGGACTCACAAGGCAGTATGAACCACCAACACTCACCTGGACTCACAAGGCAGTATGAACCACCAACACTCACCTGGACTCACAAGGCTGTATGAACCACCAACACTCACCTGGACTCACAAGGCTGTATGAACCACCAACACTCACCTGGACTCACAAGGCTGTATGAACCACCAACACTCACCTGGACTCACAAGACTGTATGAACCACCAACACTCACCTGGACTCACAAGGCTGTATGAACCACCAACACTCACATGGACTCACAAGGCTGTATGAACCACCAACACTCACCTGGACTCACAAGGCAGTATGAACCACCAACACTCACCTGGACTCACAAGGCTGTATGAACCACCAACACTCACCTGGACTCACAAGGCTGTATGAACCACCAACACTCACCTGGACTCACAAGGCTGTATGAACCACCAACACTCATCTGGACTCACAAGGCAGTATGAACCACCAACACTCACATGGATTCACAAGGTAGTATGAACCACCAACACTCACATGGATTCACAAGGCAATTTACTTCTAAATGAAACCAATCACTCTAAAATTTCCATTACATTCATAATCCTGTTTTTTTTTTAGTGCAATGTTTGTAATATGTTTATGTTGGGTGCAGTTAATGTACCCATTCGTGCACGAGGCGACGTTCATCACGGTCTGCCCTACTGCCCTCAGCCCGCGACACAGCGCGGTTATGGGCAACCCCCTCAGCCCGGCCGCGGCGCCCAGCACCTACTCCCACTTCTCTCATCCTATGTCTCTCCTCGACAAGATCAAGAGCTTCGGTGAACAGAGTTTTAGGAACTTTTACTGGACTTACTGGGCTGTAATACCCGCCATTCAGAAGGAGGTAAGTTGTGTCGTTTATTGGAATATTTCATCACACTGACGGAATAATACCAGACAGTAAGTATAGTGATGTTTAACCCACGAGAGAGACAGTAGTTTATGACATGCCCAGAAGTGTTAATGGAATGTGATAAAGGAAGAATGGGATATTGTCGAGGATAAAGATAGAGCAGAAGCAAGGAAGGAAATTTAGCTAACAGTGAAATTGGAGATTTACTAATATGCGCAAAACAATAGAATAGTCTGCACTAGCAGTCTTAACAATCATTAATTCGGACTTTGGACTGAATAAATGGCTGCGTGTTGTAAGATTGCAAGAAGTTTTACACAAGCACAACAAGTCCGAGAGCCAAGTCAATACTCACTCCAGCAAAAACTTGTTGTGTATCAAGCATACAAATAGATAAATTTACATATAGAAAACACCTGCGTAAGTACTGATTTCGAAATAGTGTTGTTGGTTTATGGAACAAATTAGCGGGAAACATGGATGTCAATCCCTGGATTGTTTGACAGCGAAAGTTAGACATTACCAGTGAATTTTAGTGGCTATAAATATGAGCAGCCTCGTATGGGTGTCTGGACCCTCTGCAGCGGCCTATGTTCTCATGTTCTTACGGGGATCCGCACCAGAGCTTCCTGAGGACATGTTCGTCCCACACAGAACATGTCCTCAGGAAACATCAAATAACTGGACATTGGAGCTGTGCTAATTTAATAAATTAATTGTGAGAGAGAGGTTCCTCACAGCTAAACATATATCCATGGCTGCTGATCATTTTACACTCGCAGTGTATTGAGCATTGACTTCGCCTATCTATGAACACAAACACCGTCGTGTTGGGTGTCTACTGATCAGGAATCGGACCAGCAGGTCGGAATTCGTGTATTTGTTTACATACGATGCCTGGTTATACTAAGAGGGCAGTTGTTCAATTAGTCTGTATGTTCATGGATGGGGCTACAGCCTCTTCCCCCAGAGTCGCTGTGGGGTGTGGCAGGGAGTCGGCTGGGCTCGCTTGTAGCTCCCCTCGCGGCTAGATTTTTCCGGATGCCTAGAGGAGAGGACGTGTCCTCTAGTGAGCACAGTCACCCTCGAGACCTACGGGTAACAACTACAGGATTACCCATCGGTTGAGGACGACTCCCCATTCACTAACGACCAAAGTGCGCTGTATGAATGTGGGACCTATATGAGTGAGTACTTGTAATTAAATTTGTGATCATATTTATCAGATCAAATCCCGCTATTGTGATTTCTGTGTGTAATGAAGTAAGGGCAAAGAAGTAGAATAACTTATTGACAGAGCTCGGGTGCATGGGGGGAATTGTGTAACACCCTGGTTTGTGTCTCGGAGAGGCTGCAGGATCCGTGTGAGGTCAGCTAAACTCCTGGTTGCAATTCTTTTCCAGGTCGTAGCACAGTCGATTAAGGCGTGTCTGGGATCCTCTCGGACGTAGATTCGAACACTCATCACGGCCCTTGTGGATTTGTTCATTGTCAGTCTATGTTATTGTTCATGCAATTTAATGTCTTGAGCCTCAATTTTGAGCTCCAAATTGTCCTTGTTGCATACGGCAGTAGTGTTAGGCAACCGTTATTGCTGAGGTGGTCATTATACCTGTGTTAATGAAAGGTTGTGTCACATTACCTGAGTACTGTCAGCAAGAATCAGTACAGTGCATAGATTTGCCTATAGTAGGGTAATTGAGGACTAGAACCGTGCGCGGCGAGCCTTTACAACATGTTACACAGGATGTTGCATGACCCTAGTCTAGCAAGATGATGATGGATGTTGCAAGGATGGAAACGAATGAATAAGTGAAATGTTGCAAAGGGAATAGGAGCAAAATGAAAAGATGAACAAAATGTTTTGCCCAAGTATCGAAATAGAACGTGCATAGAAATGACAAAAAGTGTATAAGTGAAAGTAGGTGTTTTCCTCGTAGATTGTACAGCAGCAGAATGGAGGTTCCTTTTATATTAAAGAGAAAAAAAATGAATCGTCCAAGTATCATAATAGTTTGTGCATAGTAAATATCAAAAGGATTATTTAGTGAAAAAAATGGAAGTGTACAATGGGTATGAGGTTCCTTTTTTTGAAGGAGTGAGATTAGTTCTCACTCCGTCATAGTGAGAGGAGAATAAGAAAATTCTTCTTTCACTAAGCGTGGCCATCCCTTTTTTTTTGACTTAAGACAAGATGAAGGAATAGTTCATGACATACAACGTTTCACCTCCTTCTCTTCTCCCCTATCCACTCCCAACAGTGCACTGTTCCTAATGGCTACCCCTGGCCCCTGTCAGCTAGCTACACCTCGTCGCACCCCCCCCCCCCCCGCCTCTCATCTGCTCCGCCCCAGCTACCCCGCCCTGGAAGCCCCGCCTCGGGTGCCCTGCCCCGGGTGCCCCGCCTCGGGTGTCCTTCCTCGGGTGCCATGCCTCGCTCGCAAGCCTGGTGCCTCTCGTGTTAAAGTCATATGGACTGTCACAATCTTAAATACACATGCACCTGGACGGCCGTTATTCACCACAGTGTTAATTGGGAATCCATTCACTGGGTAACCAGAGTGTGATGTAATCGATTTTCATACACTTTGCTTCACGTGGCCCTGTGGGGCCACGTGAGCAACACAAGCTTGTTCGCATTTGTGCTGCTCACGTGGCCCCACGAAGTGACGTGATTCAATAAAATATCTATGCCCAAGCTAAGCACCAAGTGCTGTCGGGTCATTGGGAATATAGCCTCAGCTACCAATGACTTTTGTACAGTCACGGTGGTCGAGCGGTTAAGGAAACAGGTAAGCCATGGAGCACAGTGCTCCTGGCTGTCTGGGTTCGAATCCTTCTTGGGTGTGGAGTTTTTTCAGTTGCATATTGGCTTGGGGACCATTCAAGCTTGTATGCATATATATATATATATATATATATATATATATATATATATATATATATATATATATATATATATATATATATATATATATATATATATGCGAACAAGCCTGAATGGTCCCCAGGACATATGCAACTGAAAACTCACACCCCAGAAGTGACTCGAACCCATACTCCCAGAAGCAACGCATCTGGTATGTACAAGACGCCTTAATCCACTTGACCATCACGACCGGACATAATGAGGTGATAGCCGAGGCTATTTGAACCACCCCACCGCCGGCACTCGGATAGTTGCCCCAAAGAATGAGGTGATTTGGTAAAATGCTATGCCCAAGATAACTATCCGAGTGCCGGCGGTGGGGTGGTTCAAATAGCCTCGGCTATCACCTCATTATGTCCGGTCGTGATGGTCAAGTGGATTAAGGCGTCTTGTACATACCAGATGCGTTGCTTCTGGGAGTATGGGTTCGAGTCACTTCTGGGGTGTGAGTTTTCAGTTATATATATATATATATATATATATATATATATATATATATATATATATATATATATATATATATATATATGCAAACAAGCCTGAATGGTCCCCAGGACTATATGCGATTGAAAACTCACACCCCAGAAGTGACTCGAACCCATACTGCCAGGAGCAACGCAACTGGTATCTACAGGACGCCTTAATCTGCTTGACCATCATCACCGGACCAGGTGTGAGTTTTCAGTCGCATATAGTCCTGGGGACCATTCAGGCTTGTTCTCATTTGTGTTCCTCACATGTGCCCCAAAGAATGAGGCGATTTGATAAAATGCTATGCCCAAGATTACCATCCGAGTGTCGGCAAGGAAGTGGTTCAAATAGCTTCGGCTATCACTTCCTTATGTCCGTTCGTGATGGCCAAGCAGATTGAGGCATGCTGTAGATACCAGTTGCGTTGCTCCTGGCAGTATGGGTTCGAGTCACTTCTGGGGTGTGAGTTTTCAGTCGCATATAGTCCTGGGGACCATTCAGGCTTGTTCGGATTTGTGTTCCTTACGTGTGCCCCAAAGAATGAGGTGATTTGATAAAATGCTATGCCCAAGATTACCATCCGAGTGCCGGCAAGGAAGTGGTTCAAATAGCTTCGGCTATCACTTCCTTATGTCCGTTCGTGATGGTCTAGCAGATTGAGGCATCCTGTAGATACCAGTTGCGTTGCTCCTGGCAGTATGGGTTCGAGTCACTTCTGGGGTGTGAGTTTTCAGTCGCATATAGTCCTGGGGACCATTCAGGCTTGTTCGCATATATATATATATATATATATATATATATATATATATATATATATATATATATATATATATATATATATATATATATATATATATATATTATTATATTTTGGTAGCGGTCTTTCCTGTAGACATATATTATTAAATATGACCGAAAAAGTAAGATTAATAATTCTAACACGAATTTTCTCAATCTTCCGTACATTTCTTTTCACTGTTGGAGGTAATTCAAAAATCAATTCTCCAAAATTCATTTTTATTTCTAGTCTGACGCGACACTTGAGCGCGTTTCGTAAAACTTATTACATTTTCTAAGACTTTACACATACACAACTGAATAAAACTTACATATCTCCGATTTGTTTATATCTACATTTGAGTGAGGTGGATGGGGTGAGGTGGTATTTAATAGGGTATTAATTTCATCAACACAAGACAGAACACGAAACAATGGGTATTGAAATGGAAGTGATTGTAGAAAGCCTATTGGTCCATATTTCTTGATGCTTCTATATTGGAGCGGAGTCTTGAGGTGGGTAGAATATAGTTATGCATTAATTGACTGTTGTTTGCTGGTGTTGACTTCTTAATGTGCAGTGCCTCGCAAACGTCAAGCCGTCTGCTATCGCTGTATCTATCGATGATTTCTGTGTTGTTTACTAGGATTTCTCTGGCGATGGTTTGGTTGTGGGAAGAGATTATATGTTCCTTAATGGAGCCCTGTTGCTTATGCATCGTTAAACGCCTAGAAAGAGATGTTGTTGTCTTGCTTATATATTGGGTTTTTTGGAGCTTACAGTCCCCAAGTGGGCATTTGAAGGCATAGACGACGTTGGTCTCTTTTAAAGCGTTCTGCTTTGTGTCTGGAGAGTTTCTCATGAGTAGGCTGGCCGTTTTTCTGGTTTTATAGTAAATCGTCAGTTGTATCCTCTGATTTTTGTCTGTAGGGATAACGTTTCTATTAACAATATCTTTCAGGACCCTTTCCTCCGTTTTATGAGCTGTGGAAAAGTAGTTCCTGTAAAATAGTCTAATAGGGGGTGTAGGTGTTGTGTTAGTTGTCTCTTCAGAGGTTGCATGGCGTTTCACTTTCCTTCTTATGATGTCTTCGACGAAACCATTGGAGAAGCCGTTGTTGACTAGGACCTGCCTTACCCTACAGAGTTCTTCGTCGACTTGCTTCCATTCTGAGCTGTGGCTGAGAGCACGGTCGACATATGCGTTAACAACACTCCTCTTGTACCTGTCTGGGCAGTCGCTGTTGGCATTTAGGCACATTCCTATGTTCGTTTCCTTAGTGTAGACTGCAGTGTGGAAACCTCCGCTCTTTTCCATGACTGTTACATCTAGAAAGGGCAGCTTCCCATCCTTTTCCATCTCGTAAGTGAAACGCAGCACGGAACTCAGCTCAAATGCCTCCTTCAGCTCCTGCAGATGTCTGACATCAGGTACCTGTGTAAAAATGTCGTCAACATACCTGCAGTATATGGCCGGTTTCAAGTTCATGTCGACTAAGACTTTTTGCTCGATGGTACCCATGTAGAAGTTTGCAAACAGGACACCTAGGGGAGAACCCATGGCGACCCCATCTACTTGCTTATACATGTGCCCATCCGGGCTCAAGAAGGGTGCCTCTTTAGTACAAGCTTGGAGTAGTTTCCTCAGAATATTTTCTGGTATGTCAAGAGGAGTACAGGCTGGATCACGATACACTCTGTCGGCTATCATCCCGATTGTCTCGTCCACAGGTACGTTGGTAAACAGCGATTCTACGTCCAACGAGGCTCTTATCCCTGTGGCCCGTGTGCCCCGCAGTAAGTCAACAAATTCCTTTGGAGACTTCAGGCTGAAGGCGCAAGGAACATAAGGAGTCAGCAGGCCGTTAAGTCGCTTCGCCAGTCTGTACGTGGGTGTGGGTATCTGGCTAATGACTGGCCGAAGTGGGTTTCCAGGCTTGTGTGTCTTGACATTTCCATACGCATATCCAGGTTTATATTCCCCCAGGTTTATATTTATTTATATTTATTTATTATGCTCTGCCCGGCTATGCACGGGCAGAGCAATACAGCAGCCATGATCTCATCTGTCGTAAGACACAGGGAAAGATTGCCAGACATGAAGCAGTCAATGACATCATCAAGAGAAGTTTGTTTTCAGCTGGGTGTCCAGCACAAAGGGAACCTCAGTTGTGCAGACCTGACAACAGCCAAACACTGGTGTATTTCCGCAAATACACCGGTGTTCGGTGGAGATAGGGGCGGCAAGGCGCAGGGCAACACAAATACTTATTGCCCGATGATCCAGGCGGGTGCCCAAGGCTGAATTACGGACTGCCAACAGGAAGTCCCCAGCATGGGGGTTTGCACAGCTAGGAGATGCGCTCTGTCCTTCTGAGAAGCTGCGTCCAGCAATGCTGGAGGCAGCAAAGCCTCCAGCATTGCTGGAGGTCTGAAATTTCACTGACGAAGAGTGATCTTTCAACACCGCATCCGACAAGTAATTAGGAGCCAATAGCGCGTGTGCCACCCATGGTTGCTCACACAAAACTGAGCCAACCAGCAGCCCTAGGACATTCTGGGATTTTTTTTTTAATTTCTGCCTCTCACTGGTGGTCCCAGGAGGCAATTTCGTAACCAACCTATTGCGCACGTATTTTGAATAGTACGAAATCTTAAATTCACGTTTTCTCGGCATGCGCTTTGCCTGCCATGAGTATTGTCAGCCAGCGCAGTCCAGTTGTTAAGCACATGGTGTTTCAAGAAATCCTTTCTTCATCATTAAACAAACTATTATTGCTGACTTGGTTCCATAGAGGTCACCTATTATTTAGCCCTGAATGTTACAAATTCAGATGAACCAACCTCTGTTTTTCCTGAATCTCCAGGAGGGAATCAGACACGACCTATACCTGGCAAGATCTCTTCAGGATCTTGTGCTGTTACTCTAGGCATTTTACGTTATTGATAATTATTGTGAGCAGCTTGCATGGCAGTCCTAGCCTAGCTGCACACTGTAGTAGTCCAACCTTAAAGTGAACTCGGGCATTAAAAATCTCAAGAATTATCAGTGGAGACAAGTATATGGTTAATAGTGCAGTGGGACGCAGAGGAGAGTAAACATTTTTGTTGACATTGTGGCACTTGTGAGGCTGTATAACATTTGTGATACAATGGGCTAGTGTTAAAATGAGATTATTGAGGGTTATGTTAGGCCAGGAAGGTCAAGGTGCAGTCTTCACATTTCTTATTTAGAATTCATTGCTGTGTCGCCGTGATCTCAATATTTAACTGAATATGGTGTTATTTCCGAGAGAAAAATGCATTTTGATTTAAATTTGGGGTTAGAAGACGGTGAGAGTGAAGGTGGTGCCAGTAACTGGTGTGGTGACCTCGGCAGATCGCGGCGCAGTTCCCGCACCTGCCGCCGCTGCTGGAGGTGGAGCGCAACCAGAGCCTGACGCTCATCAACTCCCACTTCACCATAGACACGCCAGTGCCGCTCCTGCCGTCGCAGGTGGAGGTGGGGGGCCTCCACTGCCGCCCGGGAAGACCTCTGCCTCAGGTGAGCAGCGCCGCTGGTCGCTTACTTTCCGTGCTTTGTAAACATAATGTAAATTACCTCCCATGAAGCATTCTACCCCAGACAGTAGACGGGTGATAGGCCTATTGCCTCCGTTTCTTCTTTTGTAATCCTATTTCCGGTTTCTACGGCCCATTACCTGACATAATTTCGAATGCAATTGAGCTCCCAGTTAAAAATCATTTGTTTTTTGCTTCTTGTTATTCCTCATTTCATAATGAACCTTATAGGATAGAAACGCTTTGTACTTATTAGTACAAATAGTACCTATAGTACATAGTACTTATAGTACAAAGTAGTTTGTTTTGTTCTTTCTTCAGTCCTGAACAGTAGTGACATTCGCAGATATCTTCTTCCAGTTAAACCAAGTTGCAGGAGCACAAGTTAGCGGGACAGAAACCCTAAACAAGAAAACAATCACAATGTGTTGTCATATTCACTGAAGCAAATCTAAACAACAACCTGCCGCTAGTGTTTTATGGTGTATGCTCGGGAGTACCCAGTGTGCAGGTTCGAACCCTCATGGCTCCTGTGGGAAATTTACCAGTAGGATTTTATTTTAAATATTTCTTTACTTTATTTATTCATTTATTTATGTTGGAATTTTCTTGTTCAATTATTTATGTTCGATTTTTTTTGTACAATTATTTATGTTGGAATTTTCTTGTTCAATTATTAATATTCAAGTGGACTGTATAGGATAATTTTCTCCCATTAATAAACTCCTCACAAGCTTTGAGGGTTACTGATTCGATTTTGCTAGATCGTATTTAAATGATTAAATTAGCACATTATTGTCCATTAAACTGTAACTAAACGGTTATTGGTGAACATCACATAAATTGTTATGTCATTAATTAGTAATAAAGATTGGTTAGCATAACCAAAGTTTTAGTCACAACATCTGACTGGAAGGTTGTGACAGTCAATTGATCAAGTGTTGTGGACGACTGGAAGGTTGTGACAGTCAATTGGTCAAGTGTGGTGGACGACTTGAAGGTTGTGTCAGTCAATTGGTCAAGTGTGGTGGACGACTTGAAGGTTGTGTCAGTCAATTGGTCAAGTGTGGTGGACGCGTGTTCGTCCTCTCTTAAAACAATGGCGTCATCTTTACATGAGAGACAAGTTCCTCACAACTTGTGTAGTCCCGACTCCAACCTGCTGAAATATTGCAGTTTAGTTACGAACATAAGTTAACTTATTGTTATTTAATTGTTATAACTCTTTCACGTCGAGTTATAAAGGACAGTCACCACTCTGGGCTGAGTCTCCTGCGTCCTACCCACCAATATCTAGCATGTACAATAATTAACATTATATTTAATAAGGTAAAGGCGGAAATAGGATGCACTTTCCTGTTTGATGTCGGGATCGAAATGCTCCGAATTCATAGGTATTTCTTAATACTAAATACCAGCGGCGTTCTCTATGTATCACGACCAGAGTAATGTGTGCTAGTGGCCTCTCCTCACGAGCCGTTTTCTTTTACGACATACGGGTTATTATTTATTAATTTGCAAGGGGGCCAATATAGACTTAAATTATTTAATATTTTAATTAAATGACTTTAATGACGCACATTTAATCCTCGGATTACACGCTTGAAGAATTTAAATATAGACGTAAATACGCCTGATATGTTATATTTATTGAGAAGCAATTTTGCGTTTTCTCCACAGAGAATGGTGAATATTATCATGAGAGTTCTTATTCGTGTTTTCTTAGCTTCATTAAAGTATCTATTACAACAGAAATAAAATTCCTTTGGGTAATTTTAATAGAATAAAATTTAAGTAAAATGTTTGTGGGATATTTTCCCAAAGTACCAACTAGTTTTATCATTATTATTATTATTATTATTATTATTATTATTATTATTATTATTATTATTTTTATTTTATTTGTAAAAATCACTTTTTAGTTGCTCTTGTGCTGAAAAGGTCAGAGATCTGAACTTTTTATTTGTTATTTTATATAGAGGCGCTGCTATATTTTGTGATGTATCGGATATTATTTTGTTAATAGCCATTTATTTATAAGGGCTAACAGCCATTCATTGACAAAGATCCTTCACATGACGCAGTAACTCCATGCTTCAGTTGCCAGCGTGTTGTCCCTCACATGACGCAGTCACTCCACGCCTCAGTTGCCAGCGTGTTGTCCCTCACATGACGCAGTCACTCCGTGCTTCAGTTGCCAGCGTGTTGTCCCTCACATGACGCAGTCACTCAACGCCTCAGTTGCCAGCGTGTTGTCCCTCACATGACGCAGTCACTCCGTGCTTCAGTTGCCAGCGTGTTGTCCCTCACATGACGCAGTCACGCCGTGCTTCAGTTGCCAGCGTGTTGTCCTTCACATGACGCAGTGACCCCATGCTTCAGTTGCCAGCGTGTTGTCCTTCACATGACGCAGTCACTCCGTGCTTCAGTTGCCAGCGTGTTGTCCTTCACATGACGCAGTCACTCCGTGCTTCAGTTGCCAGCGTGTTGTCCTTCACATGACGCAGTGACCCCATGCTTCAGTTGCCAGCGTGTTGTCCTTCACATGACGCAGTCACTCCGTGCTTCAGTTGCCAGCGTGTTGTCCCTCACATGACGCAGTCACGCCGTGCTTCAGTTGCCAGCGTGTTGTCCTTCACATGACGCAGTGACCCCACGCCTCAGTTGCCAGCGTGTTGTCCTTCACATGACGCAGTCACTCCGTGCTTCAGTTGACAATATATATTCACCAAATTAGCGTGTTCCGGATGATCTTAACATCGATATTATTTTATTCGTTTAAAGTAATAATGAATGTGATAGCTGGATGTTGCCAGATGTTGCCGGATGTTGCCAGATGTTGCCGGATGTTGCCAGATGTTGCCGGATGTTGCCAGATGTTGCCGGATGTTGCCAGATGTTGCCGGATGTTGTACCTCATGTTGGTGAGGTATCCTTGAGGGCGGGGGGGGGGGGGGAGTCCTTGGTACACATGGCTGTAGATCTTACACTAAGATCATTGACCAATAATATAACAGTAAAGGTTTAACAGTATAACCTCCAAAGGATACCTGATCAACCAGGCTGTGACTCATACATCAGGCTGCGAGCAGCCGCGTCCAACAGCCTGGTTGATCAGTCCAGCAACCAGGAGGCCTGGTCGACGACCGGGCCGCGGGGACGCTAAGCCCCGGAAGCACCTCAAGGTAACCTCAAGGTAAGTTCATTAACCAATAACATTACTGCTCCAGAGGAGAGTGTGGGTGAGGTGGATGAAGTATGGTAGTAAAGATGTGCGCCTGGTTGCCCACAGAGGCTGGAGGCGTGGGTGACGGGGGCGGGCGAGGGGGGCGTGGTGTACTTCAGCCTGGGCTCCGTCACCAACGGCACACTGCTCCCCGTCACCTACAGGGACATGTTCGTCGACGCCTTCAGGCAGGTAGAGCAGCGCGTCATCTGGAAGTTTGAGGAGAAGCTGATGGAGGTGTCTGAGAACGTCTTGATGGATACGTGGCTTCCTCAGCAGGACATCCTCGGTGTGTGTGTACTTCCCTAGTTGTACTTGTGGAGGTTGAGCTTTGGCTCTTTGGTTCCGCCTCTCATCTGTCAATTAACTGATATAGAGATTCCTGAGCCTACTGGGTTCTATCATATCTACATTTACATCTATGTATGGAGTCAGCCTCCATCACATCACTTCCTAGTGCAATCCATTTTACTAACTACTCTGTCACTGAAAAATTCTTTCTAATGTCTCTGTGGCTCATTTGGGTACTCAGACTACACCTGTGTCCCCTTGTGCGTGTGCCACCTGTGCTAAATAATCTGTCCTTATCAATCCTGTCAATTTCACTGATATTTTTTTATGTGGTAATCATGTCTCCCCGAACTCTTCCGTCTAGCAGCGACGTGAGGTGCAATTCACGCAGCCTTTCCTCGTAACTCATACATTTTAGATTTGGGACTAACCTACTGACATACCCTAGAACATTCTCCAGTTTCGTCTTAGACTTGACAAGGTAGTCATGATGGTGCTGCATACTCCAGGATTGGTGTTAAATTTGTGGTATACAAGGTTCTAAACGATTCCTTACACTAGTTTCTAGAGGTAATTCTGATGTTAGCCAGACTCGCATATGCTGCTGATGATATTCTTTTGATGTGGGTTTCAGGATACAGGTTCAGTGTGGTGTGATATCAACTAGATGGTTATCTCTGTCCGTTTCGTAGAGGACTATGTGTGTGTACTCACCTACTTGTGCCTTCGGAATCCAGCATTAGCCCTTGGACCCGGCTTTTCCATCCCCCGGTTGTCTTTTGCAATGTCTCCTGACCTATTTCCCTTCATATCTACTTTAAAAAATATGAATGGAGGCTGCTTCTACAATCTGCCTCTTTAGATCATTAATTTTTTCCACTTTTCCTCTCGTGCTAAATGAAAGCTTTCCAACATCTCGATGACTCTTGAGTCTCAAGCTATCATTCATGTACTTATACATTTGGTATTCATTGTGAACATTTCCTATTTCTATACTCTATCATTCCGCCTTAGTATTGTATGTCTCTATCATGTCCTTATCTTTCTCCTCTTTTCAAGCATTGTCAGGTTTAGTTCTTTCTGTCTCTTTTCATACCCATCTCTCAGTTCTTGGACGAGCCTTGTTATAAACTTCTGAACAATTTCGAGTTTCTTTGTGTTTTTAGGAAGAGGCTCAATGATGTGTTGTATACTCTAAACTGGTCTCACATAGGGTGTGTGTACAGCCTGTGTGAGAGCAGCCTCCCCCCCACCCAACGCTTCAGTGAAATCACACTGACGTGATCCTTCTATGCAAAAATCATTTCGAGCAAAGCGGGTAATGAACCAGCGACCTGTTAGGCACCAGATGCCAGCCACGACATGCTAAAAGCTATTCAACCTGAGACACCGAGCTGGTGCCCGCCAAGTTTCGCGAATAACCGAATAACCGAAACACGCACCAGAGTGCGTGTTTCGCACGCACTCTGGTGCGGACAATGGTGCTGTCAACCCCGACGGAGCATGTCGTGGCCTTGCGGTATGGTGCGCGGCTGGTGTTTACCAGGTGACCAGTTCTGTACCCGCATTGTTCCAAATGATTTTTACATAGATCACGTCAATTTCTTTGTGCACTCGATGGTGAAGAACACCATTGCCCTCACCAGAGTGTATGCGGACTATTCACAGGACTTGGTGGGCGCCAGCTCTGTGTCTCCAGAAGTCCTAGTGAATTTAATACCCAAGTAGCATAGCTTTTAGTTGTCCGTGGCCTATGGTATGGTGCATGGCTCTACACTGTAACTTACCTTCCTACTAGCCTTAACAACATACTTTTTGAGGGAAAAATATGATATTTTGTCACCATGGAGCAAATTTTTTAATTAATCCCCCTCCCCCCAACCCCCAAGCATCAACACGCTCAGTAATGTGTCATCATTTAGCTGCCGTCCTCCTTGTAGCTGTCAACACTCTCCCGACCCCTGAACACCTCTCTCTCCCGGCAGCCGACCCTCGGGTCAAGCTGTTCATCAGCCACGGGGGGCTGTTGAGCAGTGAGGAGGCCGTCTTCCACGCCACGCCCGTCCTGGCACTGCCCATGAGCTTCGACCAGCCCAAGACGTCTGGCCTCCTGCAGGACCTGGGGGTGGCCCGCGTCCTCCACTGGGAACAACTCTCAACTCAACTCATCGTCAACTCCATCAAGGAGATTATCAACAACCCGAGGTACGACTCTCAGTGAGTGAAGATCACAGACAATATCTGCTTGACATTTACATGTGTGTCACGATTATATTAATGTCTTGGTGTTTCATGATCCTGTGAGGTGTTGCAGCCTCGAGGCCAGGGGCTGCAACACTCCCCACAAGCCTCTGAGAGCCTGTGATGTGTTGCAGCCTCGAGGCCAGGGGCTGCAACACTCACCACAAGCCTCTGAGAGCCTGTGAGGTGTTGCAGCCTCCAGGCCAGGGGCTGCAACACTCCCCACAAGCCTCTGAGAGCCTGTGAGGTGTTGCAGCCTCGAGGCCAGGGGCTGCAACACTCCCCACAAGCCTCTGAGAGCCTGTGAGGTGTTGCAGCCTCGAGGCCAGGGGCTGCAACACTCACCACAAGCCTCTGAGAGCCTGTGAGGTGTTGCAGCCTCGAGGCCAGGAGCTGCAACACTCACCACAAGCCTCTGAGAGCCTGTGAGGTGTTGCAGCCTCGAGGCCAGGGGCTGCAACACTCCCCACAAGCCTCTGAGAGCCTGTGAGGTGTTGCAGCCTCGAGGCCAGGGGCTGCAACACTCCCCACCAGCCTCTGAGGAGAATAAAGAAGACACTTCTATAGTCTCATATCCCAGCTCCTTGTTCCCATATCCCAGCTCCTTGCTCCCATATCCCAGCTCCTTGTTCCCATATCCCAGCTCCTTGTTCCCATATCCCAGCTCCTTGTTCCCATATCCCAGCTCCTTGTTCCCATATCCCAGCTCCTTGTTCCCATATCCCAGCTCCTTGTTCCCATATCCCAGCTCCTTGTTCCCATATCCCAGCTCCTTGTTCCCATATCCCAGCTCCTTGTTCCCATATCCCAGCTCCTTGTTCCCATATCCCAGCTCCTTGTTCCCATATCCCAGCTCCTTGCTCCCATATCCCAGCTCCTTGCTCCCATATCCCAGCTCCTTGCTCCCATATCCCAGCTCCTTGTTCCCATATCCCAGCTCCTTGTTCACATATCCCAGCTCCTTGTTCTCATATCCCAGCTCCTTGTTCACATATCCCAGCTCCTTGTTCACATATCCCAGCTCCTTGTTCCCATATCCCAGCTCCTTGCTCCCATATCCCAGCTCCTTGTTCCCATATCCCAGCTCCTTGTTCCCATATCCCAGCTCTTTATTCCCATATCCCAGCTCCTTGTTCACATATCCCAGCTCCTTGTTCTCATATCCCAGCTCCTTGCTCCCATATCCCAGCTCCTTATTCCCATATCCCAGCTCCTTGTTCACATATCCCAGCTCCTTGTTCCCATATCCCAGCTCCTTGACCCCATATCCCAGCTCCTTGTTCCCATATCCCAGCTCCTTGTTCCCATATCCCAGCTCCTTGTTCCCATATCCCAGCTCCTTGTTCCCATATCCCAGCTCCTTGACCCCCATATCCCAGCTCCTTGTTCCCATATCCCAGCTCCTTGTTCCCATATCCCAGCTCCTTGTTCCCATATCCCAGCTCCTTGCTCCTTGCTCCCATATCCCATATCCCAGCTCCTATGCTCCCCATATCCCAGCTCCTTGCTCCTTGCTCCCATATCCCAGCTCCTTGTTCCCATATCCCAGCTCCTTGTTCACATATCCCAGCTCCTTGTTCTCATATCCCAGCTCCTTGTTATCCCAGCTCCTTGCTCCTTGTTCCCATATCCCAGCTCCTTGCTCCTTGTTCCCATATCCCAGCTCCTTGCTCTTTATTCCCATATCCCAGCTCCTTGTTCACATATCCCAGCTCCTTGTTCTCATATCCCAGCTCCTTGCTCCCATATCCCAGCTCCTTATTCCATATCCCAGCTCCTTGTTCACATATCCCCATATATCCATTGTTCTCATATCCCAGCTCCTTGTTCTCATATCCCAGCTCCTTGTTCCCATATCCCAGCTCCTTATCCCAGCTCCCATATCCCAGCTCCTTGTCCCCATATCCCTGCTCCTTGTTCCCATATCCCAGCTCCTTGTTCTCATATCCCAGCTATCCCAGCTCCTTGCTCCCATATCCCAGCTCCCATATCCCAGCTCCTTGTTCCCATATCCCAGCTCCTTGTTCCCATATCCCAGCTCCTTAACTCCCATATCCCAGCTCCATTGCTCCCATATCCCAGCTCCTTGCTCCCATATCCCAGCTCCTTGTTCCCATATCCCAGCTCCTTGCTCCCATATCCCAGCTCCCTTGCTCCTTGTTCCCATATCCCAGCTCCTTGCTCCCATATCCCAGCTCCTCCTGTTCCCATATCCCAGCTCCTTGTTCCCATATCCCAGCTCCTTGCTCCCATATCCCAGCTCCTTGACTCCCATATCCCAGCTCCTTGCTCCCATATCCCCCCATATCCCAGCTCCTTGTTCCCATATCCCAGCTCCCTGCTCCCATATCCCAGCTCCTTGACCCCATATCCCAGCTCCTTGACCCCATATCCCAGCTCCTTGTCCATATCCCATATCCCAGCTCCTTGTTCCATATGCTCCTTGTTCCCATATCCCAGCTCCATATGCTCCTTGCTCCCATATCCCAGCTCCCATATGCTCCTTGTTCCCATATCCCAGCTCCTTGCTCCCATATCCCAGCTCCTTGTTCCCATATCCCAGCTCCCATATGCTCCTTGTTCCCATATCCCAGCTCCTTGTTCCCATATCCCAGCTCCTTGTTCCCATATCCCAGCTCCTTGTTCCCATATCCCAGCTCCTTGTTCCCATATCCCAGCTCCTTGTTCCCATATCCCAGCTCCTTGTTCCCATATCCCAGCTCCTTGTTCCCATATCCCAGCTCCTTGTTCCCATATCCCAGCTCCTTGTTCCCATATCCCAGCTCCTTGTTCCCATATCCCAGCTCCTTGTTCCCATATCCCAGCTCCTTGCTCCCATATCCCAGCTCCTTGTTCCCATATCCCAGCTCCTTGCTCCCATATCCCAGCTCCTTGTTCCCATATCCCAGCTCCTTGCTCCCATATCCCAGCTCCTTGTTCCCATATCCCAGCTCCTTGCTCCCATATCCCAGCTCATTGTTCTCATATCCCAGCTCCTTGTTCCCATATCCCAGCTCCTTGTTCCCATATCCCAGCTCCTTGTTCCCATATCCCAGCTCCTTGTTCCCATATCCCAGCTCCTTGTTCCCATATCCCAGCTCCTTGTTCCCATATCCCAGCTCCTTGTTCCCATATCCCAGCTCCTTGTTCCCATATCCCAGCTCCTTGCTCCCATATCCCAGCTCCTTGTTCCCATATCCCAGTTCCTTGTTCCCATATCCCAGCTCATTGTTCTCATATCCCAGCTCCTTGTTCCCATATCCTAGCTCCTTGTTCCCATATCCCAGCTCCTTGTTCCCATATCCCAGCTCCTTGTTGACATATCCCAGCTCCTTGTTCCCATATCCCAGCTCCTTGCTCCCATATCCCAGCTCCTTGCTCCCATTTCCCAGCTCCTTGCTCCCATATCCCAGCTCCTTGCTCCCATATCTCAGCTCCTAGCTCCCATATCCCAGCTCCTTGCTCCCATATCTCAGCTCCTAGCTCCCATATCCCAGCTCCTTGCTCCCATATCCCAGCTCCTTGCTCCCATATCCCAGCTCCTTGTTCCCATATCCCAGCTCCTTGTTTCCATTAGCTGGTCTCTCGCATAACTGACTTCCAAAACAATATGAACTTGTGTTAGACTCGTGGATCATTAGCCATATTATGGTGTAAAGTGCTCTCAGCACGGCTGTGTCGCCCACAGGTACACCACAAAGGCACAAGAACTTTCACGAATGTTTCGTGATCGGCCGGAAACAGCCGGAGAGAAGGCGGTGTTCTGGACGGAGTACGTCATCCGTCACCAGGGGGGTGGGAGTCTGAGGAGCCCCGCCGCGCGACTCTCCTGGAGGGAGTTCCTCATGCTGGACGTGCTGGTGGGCTGCCTCCTGGCTGCTGGCGGCGCCTGCCTCATAATGAGGGCTCTACTACGGCCAATGTTTACCGGCCTCTTTTATAGAGGGACCGGCAAAGTGAAGAGGGAGTAAGGCGATGAGGTCACTCTGATGGAAGAGCAAATGATAAAGGACTTTATACATGTGACTATAACTTAGGGTGAAGGTAATTATCATCAGGCAGTCATTGTATGGACCTAACAGCCAGGCTTCCTTCATTCAGGTTTTGATAGGTGTTTGTGGTGGCTGTTTGCCAGAATTGTCAGGACTCATTCTAATGCTGTTATTAAGGACAATCATTTGGACTACTGTTCTAAGGTAGAAGCATGTTCTGTCTTATATGACACCAGGACACACCACCTTGGTTTGGTGTTGGGCTTAAGGCTTATCGTCCGCGGGAAGGTTATTAAAGCCACCTCAATAGTTTACTAAGTAGCTAGTAAGTATACCTTACAGTATACTCCTAGAGGTGTTGTGTGTATATCTCACGTGATGGCACCAGCTGAGGATATGACGCTTCCATAAGCATCTTAATAAATAGTTCTGCAAATATAAGATCTTTCTATATAAAATGTTAACAATTCTGACTAGCAAATAATTTAATTACTAGTTGATAAGTACAAACCTATGCTGAGGTTGACTGGCCTGCCACACTTATTGGGCAGCAGCCATTCAGTACAAATAATCAATTTTATCAAGTAAAGACCTTCCCCTAAAATAAAATAACATAAAAATTAAGGACACTATAAAAAGACATTTTGGCCCTACGTGGCACTTTAGTACCAAAAGGATAGTTCATATCCATCAAAACCTATCCATATATGTCTAACCTGATCCCACATGTTACGTTACCCAGTAATTTGTTCCTTAAATCAACAAACGTGTTTCCAAACCAGTATTTACCCAGGTTTTCCAAAATATAAACTTATGAAATCTATATAATTTTTTCGTGGTCTATTTTGTGTTGATATATTTAATGCCAAATTAATATCTGATTAGTTATGCTCTTTCATCCATTTGTACACTTGTATCACGTCCCCAGACCCTCGTCTCTATAGAGTAAACAAAAGTTAAGAACATAACATGTTCTTATGGTCTAACATGAGCAAGATAACATGTGGCCTAACATGAGCAAGATAACATGTGGCCTAACAAGAGCAAGATAACATGTGGCCTAACAAGAGCAAGATAACATGTGGCCTAACAAGAGCAAGATAACATGTGGCCTAACATGAGCAAGATAACATGTGGCCTAACATGAGCAAGATAACATGTGGCCTAACATGAGCAAGATAACATGTGGCCTAACAAGAGCAAGATAACACGTGGCCTAACATGAGCAAGATAACATGTGGCCTAACATGAGCAAGATAACATGTGACCTAACACGAGCAAGATAACATGTGGCCTAACAAGAGCAATAGTCCCAGAGCTCTTGGACTATAGGTAGGAACATTGGAGTGAGCACAATATAGGGCTTTCAGGAGCCTATCCTTATTTGTATCATAGAACAGTTGTACAAATAACTGAAATATATTGCACACTTGCTTTTACACTGGTATGTGTGTGCGAGGGGTGGAGGCCGGACCCAACCACAGACCCACCCTGTTTACCCAAGAGACCAATGGTCACTTATGATGGCAGCCCAGGAACTATTATACTGTGATGCAAGGACTATTCTCCTCTGGCATACTCAAACCACACCTGTTCGTCGTCTTCCCCACAGAGCAGGTCTGCCTGACTGTTGGCACTGATGACTGGTAAAGGCAAGCTGATGTAATGCATCAGTTATACACATCACCATTCCACGTCTTCATACTGGAAGTCTGCCACCATGACAGCAAGATGAGCCACCTGACCTGCCACAAGCTCCACCACGCATTACCCCCCCCCCCCAGGGCCTAGTACTGGTCGTCGGTAAGGCCTCTGCTAACAAGTAGTTAGCCTTCTGCAAACATGCAGTTTGCTGCCTTAAACTGCAGGTGTATAGCCTCTACACAAAGGTGCCGCTAGCAGTTTGCTAACAGTGCTTGTTACCAACCTGCGTTAACACCGGTCGTGAAGTCATTACCACTGAGCTATATAAAGTGCTCCACCAGCCTTGAGAGACAGACACTCTGTTAGTGGTCTTGGGTCACCACGAGCCTCCCACACCGTCGTCTGCTCCCAGCCTGCGTCGTGTGCCGGATGCTGTAGTGGTCTGGTGCAGGTCTTGGGTCACCACGAGCCTCCCACACCGTCGTCTGCTCCCAGCCTGCGTCGTGTGCCGGATAGCAGCATTGTTTATGTGTTTACTTAGTGGTAGCAGCATTGTTTATGTGTTTACTTACACAGTGCAGGTAGCAGCTATGGTTTACTTACACAGTGCAACGGGCCATAGCAGCATTGTTTAGTTTACTTACACAGTGCCCACAGCAGCATTGTTTATGTGTACACAGTGCAAGGGACCATAGCAGCATTGTTTATGTGTTTACTTCACAGTGCAAGGGACCACTGCAGCA